TGAGTGGGGGTTCATGCGGAATGTCCTGGATAGGTTTGGATTTGGTGAGGAGTTTATTAACTGGATAAAGCTTTTTTTACCATTCTCCAGAGACTTGTGTCTTGACCAATGGCGTGCGCTCTCTCCCTTTTCCACTCTGTCGGGGCACGAGACAGGGGTGCCCGCTTTCCCTCCTTCTTTTTGCCCTCACTTTAGAGCCACTAGCAGAATGCATCAGGAATAGTAAGGATATTCACGGTGTCACTTTAGGCAAGACCACTCACAAGATAGCGTTATATGCGGATGATGTCTTACTGTTTCTGTCAAACCCTGAGGTCTCAGTTCCGGCCACCCTGTCAATTATCAACTCATTCGGTTCAATATCTGGTTACAAAGTAAACACAAAGTCTGAGGCTATACCCCTGGAGAACTTCGGCAGCACAAGTTCAGTTGCAAATTTTCCATTTAGATGGGCTACCTCGGGCTTTGTCTATCTTGGTATCAGGGTATCACCTAGTGTTGAGGACCTGTGGAGACTTAACTTTGTGCCTACAATTAGAGCAGTTAAAAATGACCTTGAGAGATGGCTTGATCTTCCACTCTCCTGGATAGGCAAAATTAGTCTCATAAAGATGAATATAATCCCCAGGTTACTTTACTCTTTGCAGATGTTACCATTGTGGATATCAAAGAAGATAATCTTAGATCAAGAAAGGGCCTTTTCGCGATTTATCCGGCACAATAAAAAAGCCCAGAATCAGAATTAAAACTTTACAACTGCCTTGGGAACGAGGAGGCTTATCCCTGCCTAATCTGAGATTTTATAACCAGGCCTGCCACACCCGAATAATTTGGGACTGGCTACAGTCTCATTTAAGATCTGAAACAAGTATTGATGAGTGGCCCCCCTCTCCCTACTCCTTGCTGAGTCAGCTAACTAATTGCAGGAAAAAGAGATCATCAGACACCCATCGTAACCCCATTACTTACAAAACTATCAGAGTTTGGCGTGACATAACAAAGTACCTTGGAAAAAACACTTGGGGTTAATACCTCTGACTAAGAATGAAGAGTTCACCCCAGAATTTAGTAGTATTTTCAAAAGATGGCATGCAAAGGGCATCAGACTTATTCAGGATGTATACCAGGGTAATACATTAATGTCCTTTAAGCAGTTTCAAGAAAAATATGACATTGCACCTGAATACTTTTTTGGGTACCTCCAAATTTGCCATTTTATTCTGTCATAGGTGAAAAATCTCCCCACAGACACTCCCATTTCTAACGATGTAGAATTATTTTTATTGAACCGAAAGGACACGACATTTTCTTTCTCATTCTTACTCGATGCTGTACTCTATAGATCCGTCAGATATCAGTAAGGTTATACAAAAGTGGGAAGCAATAGCCACTGTCAAAACCACATTTCAGACAGGACACTTTGTCAGATTTTAACCATTTATTTGGGATCACATACATTGAGTTTGGCGGTGACTCTGCTCGTGATGCTCTGGAACAATCTGAGCAAGCATGACACAGATAATCCCTGAGATCACAAACCCCAAAACAGTGCTTCAAGGGAGCAGATTAGCAGAGTCACCTTGAATGAAGTGGACTTTGGGAAAATTAGCCTATGAGTCGCATTTCCTTTGAATTGGCCACCCGCAAACATCACATCTGAGTGCAGGAAAATGTTCATGTGCTGCGAAGATGACACAAGAATAAGTTGTGTAGATTAGGAAAACCACGGCGTTGGCATGGGAGGTGGAGTCAAGCGAACCAGGACCTGGGGAACGGCCTTCCGGAGTCCATGTTGCTGAGGCTCATTTCAGCTCGCGTTGGTTAACCATCCGGTCATGAATCATAAAAGAGAAGGGACAAAAGCATATTAACCCCTTACCATTCCGGGTCATTTCGATGCAACCGCCTGAAAAATGACATCTCCAAATTAAAATGAATGCTGTTACTGACCCTTATGGAGTGTATATAAAGCTTGACCTTTGTTGTAAAGATAACACTCTCTAGTTTTAGCCACAGCAATCAGAATCATTCTAGGTGCTACCAGTAAAAAGTTACTATATTTCAATCATCACTCATATTTCAAAACTGAAGACAATATCTGTAAAACTGATCATTTGACACCAGTTTTTGTACTGGTATGTTCATGCATTTAATTGAGGGACTTGTTTTTTTCCACATCTATCCAAATTGGACACCACTCAAAATGTAAGGAAAAAGTGCAATATCTTTTGAATGCTTGAACTTACAGACATCAATGAGGGCTCTATTGAAAGCTTATACCCAGAGGAATCCATGTCTGGACACAGTCACTCTATCAGTTATAGAAATTCATGTTTCATCATAAAAACTAAATAAAATACGTCCATCCATCCATCCATTCTCTTCCGCTTATCCGGGGTTGGGTCGCGGGGGCAGCAGGCGGAGCAGGTCGTCCCAGACCTCCCTCCCCCCGGCGACGCTTTCCAGCTCTGCCTGGGGGATCCCGAGGCGTTCCCAGGCCAGCCGAGAGATATAATCTCTCCAGCGGGTCCTGGGTCTGCCCCGGGGTCTCCTCCCAGGTGGCCGAGTTCGGAAAACCTCCAGAGGAAGCCTCCCCGGGGGCATCCGAACCAGATGTCCATACCACCTCAACTGGCTCCTTTCGACGCGAAGGAGCAGCGGCTCTACTCCGAGCTCCCTCCGGATGTCTGAGCTCCTCACCCTATCTCTAAGGCTGAGCCCAGCCACCCTGCGGA